CGTCGTGCTCGCGCGCTTCAAGCTGCGCGAGCGCGAGAAGGAGGTTCTGCACGCCCTGCTCGACCAGCGTGTTTTCCGCCGCGGACGTAGGGGCGACTGGTACGACCGCCTCGCGCTCATCACCGCGCTGTACTCGGACGACCAGCGCAAGGGAAAGAAGGAGGCGCTCGCCATCAGCGTACAGGGCATGCAGGATCCCGATACGCATCTGATCTATCACGATACGCTGCAGAGACGCATTGCAAGGCTCGAGTCGCAGCTCAGAGTGCCCCGCTCGGAGCAGCATGACTTCTCGTACACCAAGCTCAAGAAGACCACCGAGGTCGTCTTCAAGGGAGTCAGGCTCGACGCCATGGTCGAGACGGATGAACACACCAAGGAGCCCATCACGGCGCTCTCCAAGTTCCTCCGCAGTGGCAGCGTAGGTGCATCGCCGCCAACGTCGCCCGACGAGCCACGGTCCAAGAGCCACACGCCACCACGTCCAAACTCACGCCCGAGTAGCCCGACCAAAGCCGCGTCTGGATTTCAGATCCGCAAGCCGCTCTTCAAGCGCGTCAAGATCGAGTCGTTCGCCGAGCCCACCACCTCGTTCGATGTCAAGCCCGCCGCTGCATCCACCTCGGCCGTAAGCGACGCAGCAGACTCAGGCAGCCTCGATACTTCCTCCGACTCGCTCGAGTTGGCGGTGAAGAAGGAGGACCTGGACGACATCTCGTGGGACGACATGGCCGCTGCGCCGGACGCTGCCACGGTATCACTGCTATCAGGCGGCGACTTTACGACCGTGGGCACGTCGACGCGGCGTTCGATGCGGTCTGTCTGGCGCGGGCTGGACGGCCAGGCGTGCAATGTGGAGCAGCTGTGTCTGCAGCACTATGCGCGCGAGGGTTTCCGCGGCTTCCACTGCGAAGGCAAGCTGCTGACCATGATCGTCGTGCTGGTCATGTGGGACGTCATCTTCATGGACGGTGTTGCGGGCTCGTTCGAGACGCCGTACCAAGCGGCGCCGCTGGATCTGGGCTCGGACTCGTTCGGCGTCGTGCGTGGGGCCGAGATCCGCACGCGGCTGGACTGCATCGCGCGCACTGGCGGGCTGGATCTGATCGCACAGGCCGACGACCGCGAAAGACCAAAGAAGACCTGGGCAGTGGGGTGTAGGTGGGACCTGTTTAGCAGGGACGTCGTGTTGGAGGTCGCCGAGTGTCTGGGTGGACATGCGATCAGTACCGTGTGTCAGATGCTCGTCGAGGAGTGGGATCACTGCAGCGGCGGAATGCCCGATCTGGTGGTTTGGAGAATGCAAGATAGGACGGTTAGGTTTGTAGAGGTCAAGGGACCAGGTGATAGACTCAGCGAGACGCAAAAGGTCTGGATCGATGTCCTGCTTCGTGCAGGCATCGATGTTCAGGTTGGAATCGTCACTGAAGCCTAGCCATTCCTTCACGCAATGTCGCTCTTTCGGATGGGAAACGGTTGTGATTTAGTCTTCCATGAGTTGATCCCTCTCTGCATCCTCCTCTTCGACCTGCATCGAGACGTCCTCCTCGGCATTATCGACTCTTGAAACGTCTGCGTCATTTCCGTCTTCTGCGGCAGTCTGTTTTGCCTTGACCTTTTTCTGCTGAGCGTTTTCCCTATACGCTCTCAGCTGCGCCTTCATCTCCTTCTGAGCTTCGTCGCCGAGTTCGAGCTGTCCCACGGCATCAAGTACGTGTTGGGCACTGATGATCTTTGCCCCCTTGCCCTGTGCAGTCTCGTGGGCCGTGGCTGTGAGGTAGCTGATGAATACGCTCGCCGACTTGACGAGTGCTTGTTGCACTTCTTTGCGCAGCTGAACGCTGTCGGGAATGTCGGTCTTGGCTGTCTTGATCACGTTGCTCCGTGGGAGCTCGTAAGAGTCGATGCCGTGCGTGAGCGTCTTGAGCGCCACTTCTTGCTGCCGCAAAACCGCCTTCGTCTCAGCAGGTACAATCAAGCCTCCAGATGCTTCTCCGTCTCCAGTCTTGCCGGTGGTCTTGCTAATGGGCGTACCCGGCGCAGAGGCCGACGACACCCCACCCGTCGATTTGCGTGGCATCTTAGCGAATAAAGCTCTGTTGTCGGCACCGGGAACACCAGAACCAAGGTAAAGCTACTGAAAGAGAGCGTGACGCGAGCGAGTGTGGACGGTATGAGGAAAGACGAGGTAGAGGTGACGATTCCGCTCCGAGCGCAGGAAGAGATGATGGGGCAGATGCAGGTGCGGAAGCAAGACAAAGTCGCCGCACCGCGAATGCAACACCTCGCCAAAACCCTCTTTGCGCTTTACGCGACCGCGCGCCTTCATACGCTCGTGCGCCCACGCGTAATTTGTTAGACCCCATTCACGCGTGCCAATCACAAGTCGCTCAACCCTCCCGCACACCCATCACACTGGCTGCCGTCTGAAGAGGGGGGGAAAGGGTGGATGAATTACGCAACAGCATCTCTGAGTGGGCCAGAGGTGAGCGCACGTGGGCCGAGACAGAAGACCTAGCGCGTGGAGAAAGGTGAGCCTAAGCAGAGTAAGGATAAGCAGAATAGGAAGGAAGGCGGGACTGATCGAAGGTGATGGTGAGGGGGAAAGGAACGAAGGAGGAGGCCACGCCCCTAGTGAAGGGAGGCTTGTGGCGAAGCAGCCACGAGAAGCCGTTAGAGCTGAGGCTAATTGAATGCAGGCTGTATATGGGTAGCAGCCTGAGATTGTGATGTGAAGGCCAGGATGCTTGCCGCGAACGGGAAAGCCTGGTTATGCGATTGAGCGATATGCATGCGTCGTAAGCCGCCAGAGAGTGGCATACCGAACGCTGAGATCGAAACATTGGAGGTTGCTGGTTTGCGTTGCGATGCCTTTGACCGTACGAGATTCGAGATGTCCTGCGATAGACGTGCGCGGCACGGTATGTCCGAGAAAGACAGCAGATACTGATACAGGACGAGATGCAATGCGACAGACAACGAAAAGCCAACCCGTGGCATGAGACCATACAAGGAAAAAGGCGGATAGTAAACAGCTTGACTTGTGAGGGCCGAGCTGCAGCCAAAATTGGCTGCGTCGATGAGCCGAAGGAAGCTGATCAAGGTCGAAGGAGAGGCTGAGAGCAGGTGAGAGACGGGAGAAAGACAACGCCGACGGGACTTGGTAGACGCAAGAGGTGTCGACGCGTTGGAGCCAGGGCGCTTCAGAATTTGACGCGCTGGTCCATGACAGGCCGTAGCCAGAGAAACGAGACGGGTGTGGGGATGCCAGATTGTTGGACCTTGCGGACGAATCTTGGGATGCATGGAGAGCTGCGATGCGATCATGGCAATACGAGAATGGCATTAGAGCCGAATGCAGATTGAGTTGGAAGGACCCAGATCCGACATCGCGCGTTTCGCGGTGGCCTGTTGCCGCAGCAGAGTCCATGGTGAGACTTAGTTGAGTCGGGCACCGCCAAGCATGCGAGCCAGAAGGCTTTCGACGGTGGCACCGGGCTGCGCGGCAGCCTTGGGCGCGGGCGACTCGGCAGAGACCATGCGGTCCGAGGCAAGAGCAACAGGCGCGGGCGTCTTCGAGGGGGTGGCGATCTCGGCAGGAGCCGTGGTGCTGCGAACGCCACGGGTGAGCACCGTCTCGTCGTCGCTGCTGCCCGAGTCTCCACTGCTGCCGGCTGCGAGTTGCGATCCGCGTTCCAGCTCCGCGCTGTTCTTGCTCAGGCGGTTGTGAAACTTGGGCGCAGGCAGGCTGGCGGGCGAAGGCGAGTTGTGGAAGTTGGGACCCGCGTAGGCGATGGCGGCGGCCACAGCGGGATGCTGCTGATTGCCGTTGGTCGCCTTCTTGACAGGCGTGGACGGAGCAATGTGGATGGGGGCGCCGTGCATGGGGTATTGAGCGTGCTGATTGGTCGCGTGGTTGGCCGAGCCAGCGTTGCTTCGTTGAGACTGCGACGATTTCGATTTGACCATGCCATTGGCGGATTCAAAGAGGTCGTCAATGTGCAGAGGCACATCCGCTTGACGGTTCTTGGCGCCTTTGCCATTCTTATGCCCTCCGGAGCCGAAGCTGCCAGCACGAGGACGCCTCTTGCCAGCTTTGCCAGACTGGTGAGTGGTGTTGGGAGCTGAGCCGTCCTCGGCGCCGAACGTCTCGACATCCCGGGCATCTGCAAAGACGTCAAAGTGAGGACCTGCTCGCTTCTTGGCACCCAGCAGCTCCTGCTGCCAAGTCAAAGCCGGCGAGTCGCGTCCGTCCTGGACCTTCTGAGGATGGGCGAGGTTGCCGTCATGCTTAGGGGCCGCCGCTTTCTTGCCTTGACGCTTTGAGCCATTGGCCTGTTGAGACAGATCTAAGTGGGAGCGCGAGGCCTGCTTGAACATCTCCTGCTGCCAGGTGAGGCCAGAGTTGGCGTCTGCGGGCTCTGCGTCGGCTGCTTTGCTGCGCGTAGCGCGCTGACCGTGGGTGATGGGAGCGGACGGGGCGGATTTCGAGAGAAGCATCTCGGTTGCGTCGGCCTTGGGCGACGACCGCGACTTCTTGGATCGAGACGACTTGATGGGAGTGCCTGACGTCTCGTCTGCCGCAAACTTGGCCTCTTTGGCCTTCTTGGACTTGGCGTTGCCGCCTGCCTGCTTGGAGGCCTGCATCTCCTCGGACATGGGCTTGGTCAAGGTGATCAGTCCGGGAGTCGAGTTGGGCTTGTCCGCGGTGGCAGCGGCAGCTTGTTGCGCCGCTTTGTCGGCCTTCTTGGAAGCGGAGGCCTTCTTGCCAGAGACGCCATTGGCGACGTTGGTGGCAGCCTTTGCTGCCAGCTTGTCCATCTTGGCCTGTGTGGAGGGAGAGGCTACGGATGTGGAGTTGACGTGGTTGGAGTTGCGCGAGCTTGGCCGAGAGTGCACAGAGGTTGCGGTGGAGTGAACGTGAGAAGGCCTCATAGCAGCGATCATGCTGGTGTCGAAAAAGAGTCGAGGAGAAGGTTATGAAGGTCTCTCGGCAGTTGTTGTTCCAGCGACGAGCTCCTGCACAATGCACGAGGAAAGTAAAGCTGAGGATCTGACGGAGCTTCCGCTGGTTTGAGACGAGAATGTATGCGCAATGCGGCAACTTGTGGCGGCAGACAATGATTTGGACGGAATCAGATCTGGAGGATGAGCTGGTGAGCGGTTGCCTTGAATGTCGATTGAACGAGGTCTTGTTGTGCGAGGCGGCAACGAGTCGCAACGGCAGGGTGAAGAGTAGGAAGGATATAGTAAAGAAGCTGAGGAACCGGGATGAGAAGCGCGGAAAGCGGGTGTGGGAGAATGGGACTGTTGGATGGAGGTTGTGAGTGGAGCGATGAGGCGAGTGACAGCTTGCAGGCCCGATGCGGGCTGGCTCCTGGACAATCGACCTCGGCTACCCAGGTCCAGTTGGCGCACTCACTCCGAGGCAAAAGGATGCGGGCGAGCTGCAACACTCGCAGTTGAATGGCTCTCTGGCCTCCTGCCGGCTCTAACTCAGTCTGACTCCGCAGCCTGGCTGTCAGCGCGCTGTGCTGCTGCCCCGCTGAGCCTGAATCCAGACTCTGAAACGTGTGACTGCGGCTCAGATGCCTCGCCTCACCTTGATTTTGCCACATCCATCCGAAATTCGACAGCCTTCTGTGTGTGAGATTTTGCACCCAAGAGCAAGTGGAGTCAAGCCGCTGGCTCAGCTTTTTCGTGCGAGTGAACCTCAATGCTTTGTCCGCCTCCTGTCCTCACATCAGCAGAGCGACCTGTGGGACTGCTTCATCCCGCGACTTCATCACGGGTGTGGTTTGCATCGCTGACGAGAGCCGTGTACCTTTCATTTTAACAGGCTAGCTCGCTTAACCTCAGAAGGACAAAGCGAAGGACGGAGAAGAGGAAAACTTGGCGCGTTAAGCGCATGCTCCGAGATTGGCCCCACCATCTAGGATTTGGCTGGCCAGTGCACTCGAGTCGGCACTCGTCACTGAATTCAATTCACTAAGACGTAGAGGAGCTAGAAGACCGTGATGCATATTGCGGACGAAAGATGTGGTCGAGTGCGACGAGTGGAAACGAAGGAAACAATATTGTACAGGGATGGTTCGGCCGCAGTGAAGAGGGCCCCTGTTCGATCGGAGCGACCAGGCATACGAGCTGCAGGCACTCAATCGGTCTGTAGAGGCGCAGATTGTGAACGAGATTCGCAGATGCAGAAGAGGTGTAGAGGTCAGTCGGTGCTCGCACATGCTTAAGCTCGCCAGCTGGAAGCAAAAGTGACTTACCGGGTCGATGATGCCCTCGGCGCCGATGGCAAAGACAGCATCAGCTTCGGGAAGGCAGGGCGAATCGGCCACGCGGCAAATACGCTGGTTGCCGCGACCCTTTCGCAGCGAGAGTCGTGTTGTCGAGGCGTGCGCGACAATGTTGCCCCCAATGGGCTTCTTGGCATCCGCAGTGAATGCGGTCGCTCCGTCCACCTGCGCCACGACCTGGTTGGTGATGACCACCGCCACGCCGAACTCGTCCGCCAAACGCATCAGGCCTCGCAGGAACTTGGCGAGGTGCATCTGTCGCGCCGAGAGTTCGCCTCGACCGGAAAAGTCGGTGCGGTAGAGCGACGTGAGCGAGTCAACGATGAGCAGCGAGAAGCGCGATTCGGCCATCATCGCCGACGCCTGCATGAGCAGCTGCAGCTGGTGGTCGGCGTTGTAGGCGCGCGCATACGCCACGTTGTCGAGCACCTCTTCGCCGTTGAGCCCGTAACGCTCGGCGACAGCGAGCAGACGAGTGGGACGGAAGGTACCTTCCGTGTCGATGTACAGGCACTTGCCCTCGCCTCCGCCCATGTCGACGGGGAGCTGGCATGTGACCGCCAGCGTGTGGCAGAGCTGACTCTTGCCCGTCCTGAACTCCCCGTAAAGCTCGGTGATGCTTCCTGTCTCCATGCCACCGCCGAGGATGGCATCGAGGTTCTTGGAGCCCGTCGTGATCGAGATGAGCTCGTTCCTGCGCGCGTGGAACTCGGTGGCCGTGGTGAAGCCCATCGGCACCAGCTTGGCAGCTGTAGAGGGCAGGGACACGCGGGTGGCGAGCAAAGACAAGGGGAGGGCGGATACATCAGTCGTCTGACTCGTTGTGACAAGGCGCTAGTGTCCATGAGTGGTTCGCGATGAACTTACCTTCGGCCAAGATCTTGTCTGCCTTTGCCTCTGAGATGCCCTTGACGAGGAGGAGGTTCTTCTTGGGCGTGAAAGCGATGCTCTCGACAGTGTTGTATCCGGCTTCGGCGAGCTTCTTGCAGTCGGAGCTCGAGATGCCAAAGTCCTAAAGAAACAGACGAAGAAGGAGCAGAAACGATCATCCAGTCAGCTACATCGGCTAAGCATGGCGAGGGACACAGCAGTGGCTACGCACCTCTAGCTTGGATACGGGCAAGGGGCCGAAACCCTCGCCCATGTCCTCCTCGCCGAGTTGCGCGGGGTCCTGGACGCTCTGAGACATGTTCAGTATGCGAAGTCGATACGGAAGATGGTGGTGATGCTAGGTGGATCGAAAGAGCCAGTCTGCCTGGTCGTAAGGAAGCGCGACCGTTCGACAAAGCGCTGCTGTGGCAACGAAGGGCAAGTGGTGGTCGGATGCGAAGAAGGCGGGCGGGGGTGATGGTGAGGGCGGCGAGCCGGGAGCAGTGAAGTGAAGTGAAGTGGAATGGACGGGTGGCGGTGGGAACTTCAACGACTGAGCATTGCTTGCTGCATGCAAGGCTTGTCTGCTGACTAGGGCGAGCCTCGGACCTCTTCCGACGCTCCAGCAGCAGCGGCAGCAGTAGCCTGCACACGCAGCTTACAAGAGCGCCACGCTTCGCCAAAAAGTGTGCGAGAGGTGTTGGTTTCGACGCGTGAGCGAAAAGCGCGTAAAAAGGCCGGGCGTTTGGTCACCCGACTTGCATACGAGATTTTTGATCTTGCGAACTCAGCCAAGATCAAAGAAAAGATCAAATTTGTTCGTGGGAATGGCGTAACATTCCCTTGGCCATAGCATCAGCCTACTGATCAGCAACGACGAAAGCGTTCACCATCGGGCCCGAGCATGCAGATCATGGTGTCTTTCATAGTTTCTGGTGGATACGGAGAGGCGTGAGAGAATGCTTTCCATATGAATGACGGTTGTTACTGGAAAGCGAGATGAGGGATGTCTTGAACGGGTTGTGGCAGGGTGTCAGAAAGACGGTGTCGCTTGAAGGCCGTGCTCCACTCGTCGCTCGTAAACCAGCCGATGTAGTGCTCGTCTCCGAAGCCGCCGACCCAGTATACCTTGTCTACGTTGAATGTTGCCCAGAA